CCGCCCTCCCTTCTTCCAAGGAGGGAATTGAGGGCTTGGACCAAAGACTTCAAACGTGTTCTCATGGAGGGCATTTGTGATTTCCATGATGGTTCGGAGTACAGTGAGCAGGAGTTGACCGACTTGGGAGTCAAGCTTCAGAAGTTGACAAGGGAACAAAGGGAGGCATGGAAGCAACACTTGGCCAACGATCACCAACCCTACCGAGCCGATTGTTCCATATGCATAAACTCTCAAGCAACAGGTTACAAGCATCGGCGTATACGGCATCCACACCTATACACGGTCGCCTTTGACCTAGCGGGTCCCTTCTCTAACAAGGGGAGAGACATGGACTTCGATGACTACAAGTACCTCATGGTTGCCTCTTACCGATGTCCCAAGGAGTACATCAGTGCCAAGGCTATTCCAGAAGTGGACCGAGAGCTCTATGTGCCGGACGAGGAGGAGGGTGACGCGAAAGAGGATAGCATGGATCCGTTAGCCTTGGACCTGGAAGCTGAGGTTGAAGATGAATCCAAATGCGAAAAAGCAGTCGAAGTTGGGGAGGACTCAAAGCTTGAGAGCGAAGTGGAAGAGTTGACAAAGCCCATCGAGATGAGGACCATTTATATCACAAGACCTTTGAGAAGAAGGACTGCTCAGGCGGCTTTGACGGCATCAAAGGAAGTGGTTCTTCAACTACGGCAGGCGGGACTACATGTGGAAAGAGTTCACACTGATCGCGCTCGTGAGTTCAATTCCCAACAGTATAAGGCATGGATGGCTGAAAGCAACCTCAGGCAGTCAAGAACTGCAGGAGGAGATCCTGCTGGAAATAGCACAGCGGAGCTGGGTGTGAAATGGGCAAAGGCGAGAATAAGGGCACTGCTACGTTCAGGAGGAGCTCAAGCGAAGGACTGGCCGATGGCGGCCAACCACGCATCTACCTCCCTGTGGTCGAAGGCCTTCCCGTCCTGTCCGGTTACAACTCCACCAGCTGCCCCGTTTGGATGTGAAGTTTGGTTTAGGGCCAAGGCCTACAAAGGAACCAAAGAGAAGAAGCATGAGGTAGTGGGCACCAGGTGGAAAAAGGGCTTGTACCGAGGACCTTCCAATGACGTAAGCAAGGGTCACCTCATTATGAGAGAGGACGGAGGGCTAACAGTGGCTAAAAGCGTCAAGTTCAACGTCATGGAACCCGACCGAGACCTACGTGATCTACTACCATTTGGCACCATTGATGACGAAAGCTTTGATCAGGAGGAGCCTAGTCCCCAGACCAAAGAACAGTTGGCCGAGGAGATTGAGTTCATGGCTAAGAAGCTTCTCTGTGATGAAAGTTTCAATGTGTCAGATGTGTTGAGTTTGTACTACAAATTGGAAGAGCTGGGAGACACTGACTTTAGGGTTGGCAAGAAAACCGCAGCTACTTCCTGGTACTCGGGCTCCTATGTTCATGGGGGAAAAGCGGGCGTGAGAAGGAACCTGATAAAGTACCCCAACACCACAAAGTACTTGACTAAGTTCGCCAAGAAGTACGTCGGGGACATGAACTTTTCTGCGCTGGGTATTGCCAGAAACTGTGAACTGGGAATTCATCGAGACTCTCACAATTTCCAAGGTTCCCAGAATGCAGTGTTACCCTTGACCTCCTTTAAAGGTGGACAGCTGTGGATCATGGACGAAGGGGAAAGGATTGTCATGCTGATGTACACTCCGAGGGCTACTAAGTTGGCTCAGGCAGATGTGGACACTTTGGCAGATCATGGTTTCGAGATAGACCCAGAGTCATTGAAGCCGGATCCCCTTGAAATGGAGGAACCTAGCGAAGAACCTAAAGAAGAACGTGATGTGGTGCTTCGGGCTCTACGGTTGGGTGAAGATGAGCTTCATGCTTTTGTTGAACTAGATGATGAAGATCTGGCCCCCAACATTGGTGGAATTGACACACCGACAAGGGCTCCTTCTCATGTTCCTCGAAGGCTGATCAAAAAGGCAGAAGTGCAGTTTACCACAGGCATTGAAGACATCCTTGAAGATTGTGTCAAACGCCAACAACCTTTGGACGTCACCCACACCGTCAGCCTTCAGGAGGTGAAAAAGAACCTTGAGGCCTGGAAAGACTCTGCAGTGAAAGAGTTTGTGAACCTCCGGGACAACAAGAAGGCAATCACGGTGCAGAAAAAACAACAGCTACCACCTGGGTGTCAAATCATCCCATGCAAGGGTGTTTTCACAACAAAACCCGACAAGCAGCACCTCTACAGGCGCAAAACCAGGTTTGTGGGATGTGGAAACTACATTCCTGGAGGCCAAGAAGATATGGACCTGTTTGCCACCGGCATCGATGCTACGTCGTTGAGGACTATGCTGTCTTACACAATAGGACGTCCATGGGCTTATGGAACAACAGACATAAGACAAGCCTTTGTCTTAGCTCCTTGGAAAGGCCAGAGAGTGGCTTTGCAGCCACCAGCTATCGCCTACGAGCTAGGATTGGCCGAACCAGGGGACTACTGGCTGGTAGAGATGGCGCTCTACGGCTTGCGGCAGAGTCCAGCCTTATGGTCACAGTTCAGAGACGAGCAGCTGGAGAAGGCAACGTTCAAGGCTATCATTGAAGGAAAAGAAGAGGAGCTCAAGGTGGTTCAGATGGTCACTGACAATCAGATTTGGAAGATCGTAAGAAGCAATGGTGACCCGGAGCCGTTAGGTTACGTGATGGTCTACATTGATGACCTGTTGGTGAATGCCCTCCCTGCTGCAATGGACGCTTTCTACAGCTGGGTGGCAGCGCGATGGGAATGTGACGGCCTGGATGTTCTACAAGAAGGGCATCCTATAAAGTTCCTGGGAATGGAGATGCATATGGTGGATGGAGGTGTTGAGCTTGCACAAGAAGGGTTCGTAAGAGAACTTCTGCGAGCACATGGACACGATGGGTCAAGAGCTATGACTCAAGGACCAAAAGAGACCCTGGTGATGTCTGCGGAAGAAGAAGAGGCCATCATCAACGCTCAGCCTGTTGATCTAACCGGGCGTGAACATGAACTAAAAGAAGCTCAACGTCGAGTTGGAGAATGCCTGTGGTTGTCGGGGAGAACTAGACCTGACATTCAGTATGTTACCGCCCTCCTCTCTGCGAGAACCACAAGATGCCCAGAGATCGTGAATCAGGTCGGCAAGAGGTTGCTGAGCTGCTTGAATGAGACCATCCATTATAGAATAAGGTTTTCTCCAAATGAACCAGGAGAAGATGTTCTCAGGGTGTATACCGACTCAAGCTTTGCCCCGAGTTCAGGAAGAAGCCATGGATCTGCATGCGTGTTCCTTGGAAAAAACCCCTTGGTTTGGAAGTCAGGCCGACAACAGTTGGTCACTTTGAGTACAGCGGAATCCGAGCTTTTGGAAGGTGTTGAAGGAACTACGCTAGCAGTTGCAACAAGGGCTCTTCTACAAGAACTGGAAGGCAAGTTCATGAAAACACAGTTGCACATCGACAACCAAGCAGCCCTACTTCTTCTTCAAGGATCTACCGGTTCTTGGAGGACACGTCATCTACGACTTCGTGCGAACTACGTGCGGGAGAAGATAAACAACGGGGACCTGATGATTGTCTTTGAGCCAGGCCTTACCCAAAAGGCCGACTTGGGAACGAAGCCGTTCACGAGAGAAAGACTACAACAGCTCATGAGGCTGTGGAACGTCGTGGACCGCAGGAACGAGACAACACCAACAGTGAAGGCCATAAGGACACAGAAACCATGGTTGACCAAACTGCTTATGCTCTGCCAACTTTGTGGTGCAATTGCCCAAAAGGAGCAAATAGAAGCTGAGGTTCCTTGGGATTTATATCTGGTGGTTCTGGTCATCGCTGTGATTGTCATCTTCTGTTGGGAAGGACTTAAGAGTTGCTGGAAAGGGAAAGATGTACGTCTCAGAGCACTCCGAACAAGGGCTAGCTTCGGAAAAATGACAAGGGCCGAGCTCAAAGAGTTGCAGAGGCTTTTGGCACTCGAACCGAATGACCTCACAGACCAACAAGGCCTTCGTCTACTGGAACTACGAGAGCTTTTTGAGACGACGATGCCTTCGGGAACTTCCCCCGTTCCAACAATACCTCCAGATGTTCCTTCAAGTACGGCTTCCTCATCTACCGCACCACCAACAAAACCGGCTACCAGAGATCAAGGAGTTCAAAAAGATTATACTCCGGCGTTTCAAAGAGTGATTCCTGAGCCTCCTGTGAGGGTCGAAACCTTTGCTGGCCCCTTCCATCATGTACCAGGTGCTGATGTGATTCACTTGCAGGCCAATTGCTGGGGATTACGGAATACCGGGAGAGCGCAACTTTTGCGCTTATGCCGTTGTTGTGTAGAGAACGGAGGGAGGAGCTTGTACAACAGGTGAGGAAAAGATGCCTCATCACATCGAGAGCCTGTGAACAGGTGATGAGACGCCTTGCGGCACCATCAAGGAGGAGTGTGAAAGAACATGCTCTCTCCAGTGTCTGAGGAACGTCGGTGATGTTTTTTATCCGTGGCTTAAGATCAAGCTTGCGGAACATGGACCTAAGGCCAGCAGTCGGCATGCATTCGCATTGTAAAGCAGTATAGAAAAGCATGCAGATGCCGTCCAGAGCAGTGGTCAGTTCTTTGCGACAAAAAGTGATTCTAGCAGTTGCCTGCCCATGGTTTCTTGGCGCTGATTGCTTAAGACCTTGAACTGTATTGCGGCTTCTGTGAACCAATTCGATACCCGGACTATCAAGTCCTACAATTAGATAGAATCCCTATAGATCCCTTTAAAGGGACCCTTATAACTACCCATGAACTATAGTATCCTTAAGGGAGGGGGGTCCAAGGGGGTATATAGCCTAGTGATCCCTAATTCTCCCTAGTACTCCCAAAGGTTCCCTTACAGTCCCCTAAGGATTCCTTATACCCTCCCCCCTTGAACCACCCTCCCTTGAGGATCCTATAAATGAACCCCCAAGTAGAGCCCTGGATTCCCAGCGCCTTTGGCTCCGATGTACTTCCGCTCGTCGCCAGTTTTCGTAGACTGGGCGATGTCGCAGAGTGCGCGGATGTTGAAATCACCTTTAGGGTTTAGGGTTTAGGGGTTTTGGGTTTAGGGTTTAGGGGTTGGGGTTAATTCGGGTTTAGGGTTTAGGGGTTTAGGGTTTAGGGGTTTAGGGTTTAGGGGTTGGGGTTAAGTCGGGTTTTGGGTTAATTCGGGTTTAGGGTTTAGGGGTTTAGGGTTTAGGGTTAATTCGGGTTTAGGGTTAATTCGGGTTTAGGGTTTAGGGGTAATTCGAGTTTAGGGGTTTAGGGGATTCTCTGCCGTGATCGCGAGTCAACATAAGCATGCTAAGGATAAGCTTCCGTCAGCCGTTCAAACTGACCCCTAAACCCTGCAAAGCTTTTACTGGCAGTGATAGAAACTGATGGATAAGAACTGCATTATCGAGAGTCATTGGCACTACATAAACATGTAACTTCCACTGTCCCTCTCTTGTGTTTGCTCGCCCCGTGAGCAACACACCTTCGCGGTGGGTTACTGTTAAAGCACCTATCATGAATTTACGTATGCCTTTGTAGGAACTCATGGATACTACTGTAAATGCCCCCCCAATTACTAGGAGCCTTATTCAGAGGACCCTGACGATAAGCGACCCCGAAAATGAGAACCCTAACAACCGAATCTGCTAAAGAAAAGTCTCGGCTTTATTTGTATTTGGCACGTGTCTTCTGCATCCCGCATGACAAGTTGGGTTTGGGTTCCTAGGGTGCAGAGTTGCGGGGGTACTTAGCTGCTGAGTTGATAAGCAAAAAATTTTTGATCATTTTCATAGCGAAAACATCATCCAAAAGATGTGGAAAGTGTTTCCACTCGGCTGCTAAGCTTATGTTTACGAAACCTGATCCCTAAACGCAAAGAAAACCATCAACTCCTAGCTACACTCGACCCGAATGCCGGCAATCCGAAGCCTTTTGAGGCTTCGATACAGCACCGCAAACCCCGCCGAAACCTAAGGATGGGTGCCTACCTAAACCTCCCAAAGTAGGTAAAATAATGGCCCAATATCAATAACAGGCTAATATTCTACATACTTTTGGGGTCCAGGTAATGATACAAGATGCTTTCAGCATTTCATGGAACGTTCATGTTTCGCTACCCATCAAGACACAATGCAGATGTGTGGCGGAAACCTTTTTCGTTGTGCTCGATGACTAGGAAAGCAATGGGCTCCACGTTCGGCTCGAAAGTGGTGTATTGGCCAAACTTCTTCACGTCAGACCTCGGCAACGTTCCGGGCATTCGAGGCTGGGCTTCGCTGAAGGCAGCTGGCATAGAAAAAAGGACCTTACTGTGCAAGAAACCCAGCAAGACGACTGACCCAATGTCACCACCAACCACGACACCTTTCCGAGGAGCATTCACACACTTCAGCTTGGAAATGCGTTTTTAACAGACCTTGCATGGCTCAGCTCCAAGCGTAGCCCTTATGCAGGTATCTACATGGTGAAAGCCTCCCCTTCCGTGACGTCGCAGCCACAGCACTCGAAGGTCACAGTGAGCGAAGGCTTGCAGCCCTCGGCGAAGTCGCAGTCATCTGCATTCTGCAACAGCTCCAGCATGAAATGGACCTGCCATGCGTTCTGTGACTGGGACAGAGTGCTGCTGCCTGTGAGCACCTTCCAGCTGACCACAGCTGTTTCTGATTTCATGGGTGCATAGAGGCTGTCCATATAGGCCGGAGCCGCAGAGGCTAAACTGTAAACTAAAGGCCTACTTGTCGGGTAACATGGGGGACTAAAGGTTAACCTTTTTGGTTCTATAGGGACTATATAGGGACTATGATACCCAAAAAAGTTAAAGGTTACCTACTCTACTACTAGGAAGGAGAACATGGAGCCCTTGCCTAAACCCCAAACAGTTTCTCCTCCTGGCCTCCCCACTGTAGAGATCAGCTGCCAAGCGCTTGACAGCACCCTGCACCGTCGTCTGCAAAGACCGATAGATGTTGTTCATAGGTGCCTTCACCCAGTTCCTGGCGTAATCGCAACGAGGACCCTAGCAGGTTAACCACGAGCCGAACCTCCCCAACCCTGAACCCACCAAGGTAGGTTGTAAACCGTCGGAATGTCAATCCAGCACAGCTAGAGCTCTAAACCCTAACCGGTTTAGGGTTTAGGACCCTTGGTACACTTCTCCTAAACCCTAAACCCTGAACCGTTAACCCTCAACCTTAATCCTTAACCCTTTGCGCCGAACCAGAACCACAGGGTTTAGATCAACAAGGCTTATATGAAAGGAACCCAAAATCTCATTTTTGTATGTGGTTGGCTTTATTTGTGTTTAAAAGTGTTTTTTTGTATTTAAAAGTATTGTTTTGTATTTAAAAGTTTTTTAAATAGGTTTTTTTGTGTTTTACAGTTGTTAAAATTCTTTTATTTTATTTTTGGTGTAAAAAATACATGTTTGTGAATTTTGTTTCTGAGTGAGTCAATTGGCTTCCTGTTGTTCTACCTGGTTTCCTGCTGCTGTATGTCTACAAAATTGTTGTTTATTTGTTGTTGAAGTTAATAATTTTTAAAATTTAATCTTTTTAAATAGTTTTGGGTTGTGATTGAACAAAGAAGGGAGGCCGTAGTGACATGTTGACTTGCCTTGAGACCTTGCCCTTACCCACACGGATCGACTGCCCATCTCGGTTCGTGGACACCGTTGGCCGGGTGTCAGGTGCTGAGTCGATGGTACCTGGACCGCCTTGGGGCCAACGTGCCAGGGCAGTGGCATATGACACCCGGGCACATGGGCTAAAGTGCCGGGTGGGGTGGTCCAGTGGTTGTGGCTTGATTTGTTCTCCCAACCAGGAGGGGAGGCCATCCATGCTTGTCACGTTAGTTAGGGAGCCTTGCGACTTGGATCGACAGAGGCAGAGTGCCACCTTACCCACACGGATCGACTGCCCATCTCGGTTCGTGGACACCGTTGGCCGGGTGTCAGGTGTTGTCGATGGTACCTGGACCGCCTTGGGGCCAACGTGCCAGGGCAGTGGCATATGACACCCGGGCACATGGGCTAAAGTGCCGGGTGGGGTGGTCCAGTGGTTGTGGCTTTTTTATTTTTCTCCCAACCAGGAGGGGAGGCCATCCATGCTTGTCACGTTAGTTAGGGAGCCTTGCGACTTGGATCGACAGAGGCAGAGTGCCAGTCGAGCCTCTCGAGGTTGCCTTACTTAAGTCCCTGCCCCATCGGGGTTGCTCCCCACACCGTTGGCCAGGTCTAAGTGTTCGGTTTGAATCCAAGCCTAGTGAACGCCTTCTCTTCCATTTCCTTCTCTCCCATCGGTCTTCATCGGCTTCCAGCCCATCGAGAAGTGGATGCCAACTGCTGGGATCTCAGCATCAGCTTGCTTCAGCTACTTCCATTATTATGGTACAGTCCTGGCACCGAGGCTCATGACGAGGATCCTGAGGACATGCTGCCATCGCAGAGGACAAGCTGCCTTGCATAGTCAGTGAGCGTGTCATGTATCGCAACTTGCCGCTGCAGCAGTTGTGCTCGCTGTTGCCCTGCGTAATCTACTATAGTCGTGTTACAGCTGCTCTGTCTCTAGTCTAAGTCGTAGTAGGCCCCCCTGCAAGCCGGCAGATGTCGTCGATGTCGTGGAGTGACAGTGAGTCTGTGGGCTCGGACTGGGTTCTGGTTGACGATGAGGGTGCAAGTACTGCGGGCTCGGTCGCGGACAGTGCTGACGACGATGATTATGTGATTCCGTTCGACGAGATGCTAGAGGAGTCCTTTTCGACATTGTGGATGTTTCTGGATTCTAAAGAGCGTGGGCAAGTCTTTCGAGCAGCCTTCCATATCAATGAACAGATCATGTTCGTACTGTTTCCGAGACTTTTGCGGGATTTTAGGCAAGGCAGAGTGCCAGGAATTTTATATTTCAATGTGACAGACGAATGGCTGTCGTCACTGAATCAATGATTTGTCGTGTTTGTACAGCCTCCGCGACAGTATCACGGATCTTGGGGAAGGCAGAGTGCCGGGTTTGCGTGTGTTTAGGGGATTTTGAATTCGACGATCTAGCCAGCAGAGCTAGACTGTCCGATTTGAGACCTCAGCGGTAGTGTGCGCAACTTGGATTCAAAACGGTTACCCAGCATGACATGCTGACTACACAGTGCCGGGTGGCAGTGATGTCCTCAGGACCCTGCTGTCTCCGAGGCTGGCTGCCTGCCTGCATAGTCTGTCAGTGAGTTGACTTGCACCATACATGATCGACATCTGCCGGCCAGAGAATCAAGCGATTCATGCATACTGATGTAACAGTAGTAACAAAATGTTACATATCATTGATTAATGTACTATATAGTGATGCATTAGTCACTGTTAATGTTTTAATCGTTGGACAATTGTGTGCTCGATGAAAGCAGTGATGCCGACGACCTGCTCTGTCTCTAGTCTAAGTCGTAGTAGGCCCCCCTGCAAGCCGGCAGATGTCGTCGATGTCGTGCAGTGACAGTGAGTCTCTGGACTCGGACTGGATTCTGGTTGCCGATGAGCGTGCAAGCACTGTGGCCTCGATCATGGACAGTGACTACGATGATTATGTGATTTATTTCGACGCGCTGCTAGAGGAGTCCTTTTCGACATTGTGGTTCTTTCTGAATTCTGAAGAGCGTGGGCATGTCTTGCAAGTAGACTGGCATATCAATGATATGATCCTGCACGTACTCTTTCCGAGATTTATGCAGGATTACAGTGAAGGCAGAGTGCCAGGAATTTTATATTACAATGACGTGCGAGACGAAGCTCTGTCGTCAATGATGAATCAGTGATTCATCGTGTTTGTACAGCCTCCGAGACCGCATTACGGATGTTGGGGAAGGCAGAGTGCCGGGTTTGCGTGTGCTTAGAGGATTTTGAATTCGACGATCTAGCCAGCAGAGCTAGACTGTCCGATTGGAGACCTCAGCGGTAGTGTGCGCAACTTGGATTCCAAAAGGTTACCCAGCATGACATGCTGACTACACAGTGCCGGGTGGCAGTGACGTCCTCAGGACCCTGCTGTCTCCGAGGCTGGCTGCCTGCCTGCCTGCCTGCATAGTCTGTCAGTGAGTTGCCTTGCACCATACATGATCGACATCTGCCGGCCAGATAATCAAGTGATTCATTCATACTGATGTAACAGTAGTAACACAATGTTACATATCATTGGTTAATGTACTGTATAGTGATGCATTAGTCACTGTTAATGTTTTAATCGTTGGACAATTGGGTGCTCGATGAAAGCAGTGATGCCGACGACCGTTTCAAGGTGCTCAGGGAGTTCCGAGGCAGAGTGCCAGACTTCTGCTGCTGACCATCAGAATCAGGCCAATCACATTGACCTTGGCAGTGATTACTGGAACGAAGCCGTGCAACAACTTCGGTGGAATTGTTTACACTGTGGCAGATCAGCTGCCGACTATACCACCGGGCTCCGAAAGATCCAAAGGGCTGCACAATTGGATCAACGAATCAAATTGGCAGTTGAGGCCATCTCAGATTTCGGAGATATGGATATGAAGTTGTACAAAGCATGGACCGGCCAGACAGATGTGCTGCCTGGGTCGATCCCGCCACCTCGGCCATGCCAGCATGATGTCGAGACGTGGCCCATGGATGATGTTTTGATTTACGACCATCCCCAGTGGCAACTGTTTGTTGGCAGTATTGGTTGCCCGATCCGATATGACCAGCTCCGGGTCAAGCCTGACATTGTCATCTCTATGAATGCAGATGACAGACCTCGGAATTTTGAGCCATGGGACTGGTATCAGTATTTGGCGAATTGTGGACCGTTTGGCACTGCACATCTTCGGTATGGTGGCTGGGATCAAACACATGCCAATGACTTTGATGCTGAACAAAGAAGTCATGAGTTCAAGACCATTTGGCGCCGCCTCATTTCAGATTTCAGAAAGATTATGATGTGCTGGCAGCGCTCAGCAGAGGAGTTCAGCCAGAGTCAAAGGCAGAGTGCCATCAAGGGCAAAATGATGGGCAAGGCCAATGGCGGCAGGGGCAAGGGCAAGACAATCAGCAAGGGCTACAGCGGCCCCTGTCAGGTTTCCAATCACATGCAAAGCCAGAAGGCATCGACGAAGGGCTCATTTGGCTATGGCTGCTCCTATGACAAGGGCTTCAGCAAGGGAAGTGACATGGGCAGCCTGTTCGGAAGAGCCGCTGAAGGAAGGCAGAGTGCCGATGGAAGGCAGAGTGCCTTGAAGGTGGCCGATGAGACATTCCCTGGTGAGCTCGGTAATGCTCTTGCTTTGTTGGAGGCGATGAAGCTTCAGGGAGGTGGTCGGAAGCGTGGAGGCAAGAAGAGGCCAATTCGTGTGCTTGTCCATTGCTACGGTGGCATTAACAGGACCTGTGCTGCTTATTGTGTCCTAGTCATGGCCTTTGCCTCGATGACCATGGAACAAGCCATTGTCAGGTGGATCAACCACCGAGCCTACTATGCTCCATTCCGGGATCGTGAGTACATGATTGAAGCACTGCTGGAAATGCAGGATGAGCTGCACACGTACAGTTGATCATCGACACTGAACCCGAAGTCCATGGTCAAACAGTTCTGCTCCAATGAATGATTCTGAGCCGTCGAAATTTGTGTCCCGACACTGGCCCAGCCAGAGAGTCCTGGACCCGACACTGGACTGCTGGCTGGAAGTGAAACACAGTCCTTACCTTGAAAAGGCTAATAGTTACATTCCCACTTTCAGCTGGCAGTCACAGCTTAATTCGTGCGTTTAAACCTGGCTGCCGGTGTTACTGACTGAGCTTAAAAAGAAAGTGAGATCATGCCCGTCTCGGTTGTGGAAACTGTCAGTTCCTTTGTCGGTTGTGCCGACATGGTGATCAGGGCCGCTGGGGCGATTGGATGAGTGAATCCAGCCGGCGACTCAGTGGGTGCAAATGTGACTTTAACAGTCAGTCTCCGGTGATTGTAATGAGTGCTCATTTTTGCCTAC